ACCTCCAATCACCCATCCCACCTCCAATGATCCATCCCACCTCCAATCACCCATCCCACCTCCTATCACCCATCCCACCTCCAATCAATCACCCATCCCACCTCCAATCACCCATCCCACCTCCAGTCACCCATCCCACCTCCAGTCACCCATTCCACCTCCAGTCACCCATCCCACCTCCAATCACCCATCCCACCTCCCTCCTGTGTTTACTGCATTTCTCTTTCTTTCCTAGCCCTTTTGAGTTTTGTCTTTGGATAAATGCTGCCCTCGTGATCCTAAATTACCTACTACTCTAAGATGTGTCCACTTCAATGAGTTATTACTTCACTTACTGACCTATTGTTTGGTTGAAAATTTGAGGTTCAGGGGTGAATTCAATCCAGTTTCAGACTTGAAGGGTGGCCAGACTTTTGGGTTCTACTAGTCTTTATCTAACCAAAAAGTTGACTGTCTTTACTGAATCTGAAGCAGTCTCCTTCAGAGCATTGGGTAGTGGTAGCCTGGTACCATCGTGGTGTCTGTTTTGGAGACTAATGTTTGAGTGGTCCATCAGCCCACTGGACTGTTTCCATGTGTCTTCAATTTTTACCACTTTGTTGTTCTGGGCAGCAAGAGACCAATAGTTGCACCTCAGCTAGACAATACAAGTTTGTAAGACTTTAGTCACTGTTCATCAAAGTAGGCTGTAGACTTTGTGGACTATTTTATGCCAATTGACTTTGGAAGATGTTGGGTATTTATATTAATAATATTTGTTAGATAAAGTATCTGATATTTTATTTTGATCTTTATTTTTAATTCATGTGCTATGTCAAATGTTAATTTTAAAATGTAGGGAGGAGTAGCAAATAGTTTGGAGTTGAAAAATGCACATTAAGCTAAGTCAAAAAGTATTGCTACTAGGTTTCTGGTTCAGATGGGCCTGAGTGTACTCCAATGAAACCTGTTTGAACATGTCCCTGCAGTTAGTGGATTGCTGTGGACACATTCTCTTGGGAATATACTTTCAGTAGCCTCCTTTGGGTGTTTCAAAAACTTCCTGTCAGAATCGTCATTTCTGAGGGGATCTGCTGGGCCAGCTGAATTCTAGGTAAAGAGGTCAGCTCAAAAACTATAGAAATTGATTTTGGGGATCCAAATGGGTTAGAGATTCTCAAAGGACACAGGGCCATCAGTAGGTCTTACTAGAAAGAAGTTTTAAGAAAATTGAAAATGGCTTTGATGATTTAAATAGCCAGGAAAATAGTATTAATTGAAGAGAGCAGAATTATTTGAGAAATGGTTAGAGAGATGGAAACATTACCCTCAGTCATGTATAGGTCTAGCTTGAAGATTTGTTGAGAAACAATAGTTTCATATTTTGATATATTTTAATAAAGGTGTCCAAGATTTTATAGTAATACTTTTTAACTGATTTTGTAGATTAAAATTGCTTCATCACAAGTAAGATGGTGAATTATATTATGATAATATTAACAAGCATTGAGACAACATAGGCTTTAAGTGCTCTTCTTTGACATAGTTCCTATAAGAATATGATTTTGGAAATAAACAATTCATCAATGATTCAGCTTATATATTGTGAATAAAGTCTGTCATTTTTAAAGCTTTTATTTTCCTATCAATTTTCTATCTTAATCCTCATCACACAACAATTACATTAGCATTGTTAACCAATAGCTCTAAATTTTTGCTTGAAATCATATGCAAACATTAACTTTTTATTGTATTTTGCTTGCAAAGCTTTCTGGAAATAAGGTGACTTATTTTTGTTACATTTTTTTCTTTAAGGTTTGAAAAATGTGTGGGTGCTAAGGAAGCTTTGGAGTCTGAACTTTATGAACGATTTGTTCTGGTGTTGAATGAGAAGAAAGGAAAGATCAGGAGCTTACACAAAATGTTAAGTGAAGTTCAAGAACTGGAAAAGAACACTGATCATGATAGGTAGGTGGCCTTTTCATTTTCGGTAGTCTAAATCACAAATTATATTTGACTTTCCCCTCATATTTAATAAAATCTACGTGACAACTTGGGAGGCCTGGTGCAAAGGATTAGACATTGTGCTGCTCACTACAAGGTCAGTAGTTCAAAACCACCAGCCACTTCACCGGTGAAAGATGACGCTTTCTGTTCCATAAAGAGTTACAGTCTCAGAAACCCATAGACCCAGCTCTGTTCTACCTTATCGGGTCATGCGTGATGAGTCGAGTTTGTAATTTGGAGGTGAGAAATTTTTTTTTCAAATCTGAGATCATGTGAGTTCCTGGGGTTGGATGCCTTCTCCTAGGCAGGGTGCAATGGCTGGAGAATTCTCAGCATTCTGTCTCCATGTCTCTTCAGTGGTCACACTGGCCTTTAATCATAACCGTGTAAGTTTTATCTTAATATTGCTTATTCAATTCTTAGCGATTAAGAAATATATTAATACTTTACAAACTTTTATTTTCTGAAAACTAGAGAGTTGGATTCACATGTGTAAATTTTATATTTAAACATTGTTTAATTTTGCAATCAAGATGATAACATTGCATTTCCAATTATTTTTAAGTTTCAAAGTCATTAATTATTTGAGCTTGTTCATACCTCATCTCATTTGATTGTGATGACCTATTTTGTACTTTTATGCAGTTTTAGATATGTCTTAGTTTTATAATCATCTATAATTTAACTCTGGGTTCTAATATCCATTGTGATGGCTACATAGAAACTCACAGACAAAATTCAAGATTAAGGATTTATTAAGGGTGTTAACAAGTTGTAGTAATGCAAGTGAGAAATGCTCAGGGTAGTTGGGTACCAGTACTTGTTACAATGATTCAGGTCTGCTAAATAATGCCCAAAGTGGCATTTCACCCTGTTGTAAACCTTAACTCAAAGGCGGTCAGTTTAAGCTCTTTGGTTTAGCAAACCCAACTCCCTGAATTAATTGCCCAGAGGCATCCCACTCTGCAATGCAGTCTCTTCCACAAAAGCACTCAGCTTACTCGACTCTGTGGGTTGGGAAGTCCATCGCTCTCCTCTCTTTCATGTACTGGTTCACATTTGTGCCATTGTTTCCCTGATGGATCATCTAGATCCAGGAGATCACTGTACTGGGAGCTCAGGTCCAGAGAACTTATCCCACTTCTGGCTCTTGCTGGTTGTAGCTCTCCCCTTCTGTTTCTCAAAGAGTTCATTTTATCCACAACGGCACTGCAGGGGATCCTGTTCATAATTACTCACAGGAGAATCCTATCAATATCTTTCCCTACCTTCTTATCAGACCCATGCAGGAAAAGGTTGTTTGGTGGGAATTAGAAACTTAGGCTAAAACAACCACATTAAACAAGTCCCTGCCCCAGCATTTATCAGTGTGTGTGTGTGTGTGTGTGTGTGTGTGTGTGT